CCCCATATCTGTCTCCCCATCACAGTGAAACTCTTCCATGGTGCACATTCCCCCTATTACCCCCGCTTCTTGCACCCTTCACCTTTTTGATCTCTTTGGAAACTGTCTGTAATACAGTAATAGAGATAATAAGCAAGGAAGGAGGACAAAGTACAAGCAAGTACAAGTAATTAGTGCATGCTGGGGAAGAGAGTGTACAATGCTTGCAGTAGACCAGACCAGACCAAACCATGCATACTTTTTCAAAGCATAATGAAATAATTCAATTTGTCCTACCTGAATGCTTCAACAATGATCCTCTCTGGCAACTTTGGCACAACAATACTGAAAGCTTTTCTGAAATCTTCAAAAGATAAAAATCCTTTACCTTGTTGGAAAAATAAATCAGAAAAGGGAGCGCAGGTTGAAAGATGCTTAAATATTTAGAACGTACATTTATGAACCAAGACTGAAAACATAAATTTTTGATGCATGAGAAATGAAGGGCTTCACCATGTTTTGGAAAAGAGAATACAAGTGACTTGTTATTGGGGGGATAGGGGAGTGCACAAAGTTTAAAGTATACTTAGCTACAGAATTTATGTTGTGAGCTGACTATTCCACATGGATTTATTTTAATGCCCCCAAAAATACCAGGAAATCTGACAAGTACACTTTCAATAAATTGATTTACTACATTTTAATTTGAGGAGGAGAGTTTTTAATTTTATTAAAAGGTAGTCCTGCAGCTCAAAAAAGCTTATGCCTTTTAATAAAATTTGTTAACCAGAAAAGGTGCTACAACAGTCCTTCTGATTTTACACTTTAATTGAATAATATTATTTTTAACCTTGGTAAACCTTGAAGCAATGCTCTTTAACAAAAGACAAGTATAGAGTTTAAAGAATCAGACTGGGGAGAATCATGTCCAATCTGTACACAAGATAGTACAGATAGTCCTTGCTTAACAATGGTAATTGGGACTGGCAACTCCATCGCTAAGCGGCATGTTAGTAAAGTGTGATGTCACATGACCATGCCGACTTATGATGGCAGTTGTGGCAGTCCCAGTTGCCATTGTTAGGCGAATTCCGCATAGTTGCAGCATCCTGCGGTCACGATTGCCATTTGTGACTTCCTACTGGGTTCCCCATTGACTTTGCTTGTCAGAAGATGGCAGTGAAGGTTGCAAATGGTGATTATGTGACAGTGGGACACTATGACATCATAAGTGCAAGCCAGTTGCCAAGCACCCAAATCGTGATCCTGTGACTACAGGGACACTGTGATGGCCATAACTATGGACCTGTCATAAGTCCCCCTCATTAAGCACCGTTGTAACTTTGTAAAATCGCTGAACAAATGGTCATTCAACAACTATCTGTAAGTGCTTCAAATCCTGCCCAAACAGGGCCAGAGTGAGATTTGCCTTAAAAGCCTGTAATGATATTGGTGATGGGAGGAGAAAAGATTTTATGCTGCCCTGAGCTGTCCAGAAAAAAGGATATAATTAAAATATAATAACAAAACGTTATCAGTAAGATATTCAAATAAAGTTATTCCACATGGGGGGACAACTTACATTGTCTATCAAAAGAAATGAATAACTGTCTTATTTCACTATGGTAAAAGTGTACAACCTTCTTTGTAGTCATAAGATTTAAAAATTCTTCAAGTGATAAACCTAAGAAAAAATAGGGTTAGGATTAGGCATATATCAAAAGAAGTAAATAATTATTCTTCCAACAAATAAAATTCAAGCAGCATAGTACAGTCTACCATGTGTAATCTTCTGCATGAGTTCAATGCAACTTATTCCTAATTGTGTGCACAGCATGAATGCATTACAGTGTAATCATATATAAATTTAGATAGACTAAATCCCCCTATGTTCATCATGTGTAGCCTTGACCACAAATCACAGCTTTCCAAAATAAGTGTGTTTCATATATTTGCTGGAGAATACCATTTACCAGACACACATGTGTAACAGCAATGCAAACCAGCTTTATTACAAAATATGTAAGTATATAATGAATATTCTTAATTTAAAGTTAACATTCTTATAAAAATCAATAGACTACTCATGACTATGTTGTGGCAAGGTTTGTGATCAAATCAAAACTAATGATTACAGTTAACCATAAAAAGGAAAATTGATTCCTTTTTCTGATGACAAGAACACATTGATTCAAAGGTGGTACTGGAAGTTCTCACTTCCCACCTAGAAACCTAAGTGACTGCCAATGTTAGAAGAAAAATGGAACACAGAAATCCTGTTATAGTCTGAAAGTGAAAGTTAGTAGGAAGGTTTAATTTAAAAAAATTAATAAAATGTAAAATTAGCTTTAACTGAATAAAATGTAGGTTAATGAGCATTTTTTGATAAAATCAATATAAAAGTAGGAACATACATTCCTTCATACATTCCTTCATACATATTAAGATATTTTGCATATAACAGCACACAAGAAATTTGAACTGTCTTGTTCTCTCTCTCTCTCTCTCTTATCCATCCATCCATCCAAATTCAAATCCTGAACTTCTTCCCACCTTTTCAAGCCAATGGACTTTTGGTGGTTCTTTTCTTGGCCCTGAAGCTCTCTCCCATCTCTCCATTCTCTACCAAATGGCTTTCTCTAGTATGAGAATCAGGGACTTTGCCTCACCAGCTCCAATATTTAAACCTAAGGTCAGGAATTTCCAACACTGGTATATGAAACCAGTTCTGGGGGAAAATCAGTTGGATGTCATTGAATGGCATTCTAATTCTAATTTTAAGCTACAAGACTAGTTAACATCATCACTGTCATTGTCATTGTCATTTTCAACCAGACAGTCCTTACTTTCAGGCTGAAATCTAAAAAGATACTCTATGTAGAAATACACGTTGCATAAACAGAAAGTATAGGTAGTCCTTATTTAATGACTACAATTGGGACCGGCAACTTGGTTGTTAAGCAAAGCGGTTGCTGAGTGAAACTGCAACTGTGCTTATGATCTTATTTCACCTTTCCTTTGCTTTATAGAACTGTGAAGATTGTAAATGCAATGATTAGTTGTAAAGTTACTTTTTCATCTCTGTTGTAACTGCAAACGGTTGCTAAATGAGGCTGTCACTAAATGAGGACTACCTGTATACAACAAAGGGAATATTAAACTCTTTCGCAGTGCCTGGGGGCTGTAGGGGCCTGGATGGGGGACAATAGGCTTCAATTAAACCCTGGTAGAGGCTGTGGGTATGGGGAGCCTCAAGATCTAGGAGCTTATCATCCTTGGTTCTGGGTGGGGTTGCACTACCCCAGACAGACCTAGTGCATAATCTGGGGATCCTCCTAGACTCACAACTCCTGTTCGAAGAGCAGTGGCAGCCATGGCTAGGAGGGCCTTTGTACAACTTTGTGTTGTGCATCAGTTACGCCCCTTCCTGGATCAGGAGGCCCTCCGCATGGTCACTCATGCCCTTGTCACCTCCCATTTGGATTGCTGCAATGCGCCCTACATGGGGCTACCCTTGAAGAGCATTCAGAAGCTACAGCTGGAGAAAAATGCAGTGGTGCAGATAGTTTTGAATGTCCCTAGGGTTGCACACATAACACCTCTGTTACGCAAGCTGCATTGGTTGCTAGTTTGCTTCCAGGTCCAATTCAAGATGTTGGTTATTGCCTTTAAAGCCCTTCATGGCACAGGACCAGGTTATCTGAGGAGCCGCTTCACCCCTGTTATATCCGCCTGGCCCACTTGGTTCAGCAGAAGGGGCGCGTTGCAGACCCTACCAGTCAAGGAATTTCAGCTGGTGGGATCTAGAAAGAGGGCCTTTTCTGCTGTGGCTCTTGCTCTGTGGAACAGCTTACCACCTGAGATGCAGGTTGCCCCACTCTCCTGGACTTCTGAAAAAGTGTGAAAAAATGGCTATGCCAGATGGACTGGGGGTCTGATGGGGGCTCGCATTGTTGGAATTGGCTGGTGGGATGATTGATACTGCTCCCCTTCATCATCTTGAATTACAAACACACACAGATGGTCTTTCTGCAATATACAGTGGTACCTCGGGTCATGAACTTAATTCATTCCGCAACTCTGGTCGCGACCCGAATTGGTCGCGACCTGAATCAAATTTTCCCATAAGGTTCAATGTAAATACGGTTAATCCGTTCTGACCCCTACGAATTTGGTCGCCAACCGATTTTGGTTGCCAACTGAATCAAATTTTCCCATAAGGTTCAATGTAAATACGGTTAATCCGTTCTGACCCCTACGAATTTGGTCGCCAACCGATTTTGGTTGCCAACTGAATCAAATTTTCCCATAAGGTTCAATGTAAATACGGTTAATCCGTTCTGACCCCTACGAATTTGGTCGCCAACCGATTTTGGTTGCCAACTGAATCAAATTTTCCCATAAGGTTCAATGTAAATACGGTTAATCCATTCTGAACCATATGTATTTTTTTTTTAAACCACAAAAATATGAAACAAAGTATAGTACGGTACAG